AATGATTGGGAGTCCCTATCATGTGCACGGAGCTAATGATTGGGAGTCCCTATCATGTGCACGGAGCTAATGATTGGGAGTCCCTATCATGTGCATGGAGCTAATGAACTAAGTAGTTTGTATTCGTGGTCTTTCCACTGCTGTGGTTACAGGGCCATACTACCATTGCCCAGCTTCTTAGGTGGGTTCTGAGGATCTGACTATCTCTCTAGCCTGCTCATGCCTGCTAAGGCAGTAATTCTTCTTCTTCTTTTTTCTTTAAAGATGTCTTTATGTTTACTTTATGTGTGTGGGATGCCTGCATGTATGTCTATGCACCACATGTGTGCAATGCCTAACACAACCAGAAGAGGGCATCAGATCCCCTGGAACTGGAGTTAACAGATGATTATGAGCCACCATGTGGGTGCTAGGGGTATGAAACCCAGGTCTTCTGGAAGAGAAGCCAGTGCTCTTAACCGCCGAACCATCTCTCCAGCCTTAAGACAGCAATTCTAAACCCAGAAACCTATCCCAAGGACATGAACACAAAGAATGCATGTCATTTCTGTGTAACCAACACTTGGCAACAACCAAGATGGACAGCAATAAGGAACTAAATAAAATGAAAGAATACATACAAAATAATATGCAAATAATGCAAAACTATGATATAGAAAGAATATCAAAGTTCATATACATTAATTAAATAAAACATAATTCAAAACAGTAGGAATAAGGATTTGGTTTTGCAAAAAGACCACGAATACAAACTACTTAGTTCATTAGATCTATGCACATGATAGGGACTCCTAATCATTAGCTCTGTGCACATGATAGGGACTCCCAATCATTAGCTCTATGCACATGATAGGGACTCCCAATCATTAGTTCTATGCATATGATAGAGACTCCCAATCATTAGCTCCATGCACATGATAGGGACTCCCAATCATTAGCTCCGTGCACATGATAGGGACTCCCAATCATTAGCTCCATGCACATGATAGGGACACCCAATCAAGGGCAACTTAAATTTTCCATCCCTGTGCTGCTATGAATTTTCTGACTTTCAATGGCCTATTTATATTACTTTTATCAGAATAAAAGTAATAAAATGAAGATTCAAGAGTCAAGTTTGCTTAGCAGACATAAACGCGATACTGGCGGGTTCTTCTTTCCTCAAGCTATTTGGCCAGGAAGCTCTCCCCTAGAATGAGCACAGTCAGAAACCCTGCTGCACAAATTCTTACCCAGCATGCCCTAACTAAAAACATCACCCAAGAGCAAGCCTCTAAAGCACCTGAGGCGGATGGAACAGCCCGGAGTCATGTCCTATTTTAACCCAGCCTTCTTCCAGGAATGTTTTTTTGAAATCTCAGTTTTCTTTTTCCAAGAACTTCACAAAATTCTAACTGTGGCTCTCAATCTGGAGAGGGATTCTGACACATGGCCTACAACAGGGGTCAGCAAGCTTCTGCAGAGGACTGGGAGTGAAGTATTCCTTTTATGAGCCATACAGTCTCTGGTGTGACTACTGAACTCCGATTCTGTGGAGAAATAAACAGTTTGGATACAAAGGCAAACGGGTAAAGCCGACTTTCAAAAACACAACAGAAACTCTAAAACCAGGCAGCGGGCCAAATGTGAGGGGAAGGATGTGGTTTGCTGACCCCTGGACCGAAATGTCATGTCATTGTGACCTCCTTTCTGAAGCCTGATAGGACCACTGGAAGAAAACACCCTGTCCATATGCCTGCAAGCCTTTACGCTTTTGATGTTTTGTTGTTACCGTTTTGTTTTGGATTTGTTTTCCTTTTTCAAGACAAGGTTTCTCTGTGTAGCCCTGGCTGTCCTGGATCTCCCTCTGTAGACCAGACCAGTTTGGCCTCGAACTCACAGAGATTCTCAGGAGTGCTGGGATTAAAGGTGTGCATCACCATGCCCAGCTTGTAGTTAATATTTGTTTTTTTTAACATGGTGATAGGTTTTCTTTCCTACATGCATACCCCAGGCTGGCAAAGAAGTGTTCCATTTACATACAGGGCCTTTCTGTGGTATGAGCCAGGGCCTGCTGGAAATTACTGAGAAGCAACCAAGCCATGGAATAAAATACCTACACCCACTGAGTGCTTGGAAAATGTAGGGGACACTTTAGAAAGAAAAAACTAACTCGGCTTTCTACATTAGAGGCCAGCATGTCGATCCTACTTAAAGGCATCTTAAATACAGAAGTGGAATGGAAAACATCTACTGTCTGTCCCTGGAAGGGGAAGGGGAGGCCCAACGATGTACTAAGGGAATACAGCCTTGCCTCTCAATCCACCCAACGAGCCCATCTGTGGGCGGGAAGAAGCAGCCATGCATTCCATGCCCCATTTTCCCTTAGACACAGCTGGTGAATCCTAGTGTCCTGGACCCAGGCAGAACCAATTCGAGCCAGGGATGATGACGATGATTCATGCCCCTAATCCTAGCACTCAAGAGGCTGAAGCAGGAGGATTCCAAGTTTGAGGCTAGCCTGAATTACACAGTGAGACAAACCACTGCCAGGACTCAGCTGGATTTCCCATCTTGGGAATCCAGGATTGAGCTGCAGAGGCAGGTGGGCTCCTTCAGACAGCACCGAGCAGGGTTATTTCCAGAGACCAACTAGAGGCAGGGCGACCCAAGACTATGAAACACCAAAGTGACGTGCAGAACCAAGGGACCTCGTCTTGCCCCTCACCATGCGTAAGGCAGTATGCTGAGGGACAGAATTTTGAACTTAACTGACCCACACTGAGGCTCCTTGAGATGTTTTAAACTGATTTATGACCAGGCAAGATGGTGCCTGTTTATGTTGACATTTGGGAGGCTGAATCATGAGTTCAAGGCTACCCTGGGCTATATAGAGAGACTCAAAAAAAAGGGAAGGGGGAGGACTGGAAAAATGGCCCAGTGTTTAAGAGTGCTTGCTGTTCTAATCATAAGGACCAGAGTTCAAATCCCAGCACCCACGTAATAATCAGGGCATCTTGTGCACACTTCTAACCCCATCTCTGCAGACAGTGGAGATGCAAGGATCACTGAGGTTGGCTGGCTTCCAGCCCAGCCAAGACAACTCAAGCTTCAGACTCAGGGAGAGACCCTGCTTCAAAAGAAACAGGTGGACAGTGATGGGGAGAACACCTGGCGCCCTCTTCTGGCCGTCATGCATGTGCACAGGTTCACACCCACACAGGCGTCACACACACATACACACACACACACACACACACAAATCTCTCCAAAATTAAAATATAAACTAAACGAATTTGCCTCCACCCCTCTCCCTGTTCCCTGGGGAAAACACTCTACCTCTCTCTACCCGAGGACGGGCCTAGCTAGCCTGTGATAATGCAGTATGGACATTAATTAGTTGTTATGTTTTGTTTGGCCACACAATTTCTTTTGTTTGTTTTCAATTTATGATACCATCTAAGAATTGGAAGATTTCCCCCATTAAAAGTCAGTTTCCAGCTGTCTTGACAAACTGGAATATCCAGTAATGCTGGGCTGCGCAGGAGCCATCCCCCGGGGGCAGGGCCACGCATGGCAGTTAGCTGCCGTCCTCAGCCCTGACTCCTTCCTGCTAATGTTCCTTCTGTTTCTGCTCTACTGTGTGGCTGTTTTTAAGCCCTGGTACAGAATCCTCTCTCTGTTCCTCTGCTTACCCAGAAATGGGTAGAGGGGGGCTACGCAGTGTTCCGAGAAAGACAGGCAGTGTGGTCTTTTCTTGCACGCCCAATGGGCAGAACGAACACACTTTGACGTAGCCATTAGTTCAGTGGTTCTCAACCTGTGGGCCGCAACCACTTTGGGGGTTGGACAACCCTTTTCACAGGGGTCACATATCAGGTACCCCACATATTAGATATTTACATTAGGATTCCTAACAGTAGCAAAATGGCAGTTATTTCATGGTCGGGGGTCACCACAACATGAGGAGCATCCTGTTTTAGAGGGTGCAGCATTAGGACCATTGGGAAGCACTGCTGCAGCTGACCCTAGCCTTAGTCTAACTCACTCCCTGAGGCTGGAGCAGCTGACGCCTGGGTGTGTGGTCTCCAACCATTTCTCTGCTTCAGGTATCCGGAAAGATGGAATGAACTCAGTGAAACCTATGATGTTGCCGGGCATGGAGGCGCACGCCTTTAATCCCAGCACTCAGGAGGCAGAGGCAAGTGGATCTCTGTGAGTTCAAGGCCAGCCTGGTCTACAAAGCGAGTTCCAGGACAGCCAGGGCTACACAGAGAAACCTTGTCTCAAAAAACAAAAAAACCTATGATGTTAAGTATGGGAAGCATCTGGTCTGTTTGGGAGATTTTTCTAATGCTATAAGATGCCAGGAGTCCAGAACTAGACAGGGAGGAAACGGACTCTCCTGTACCATCTCTTCCCTATCTGTGGGTTACAGTGACAGCAGGGACAGAGACTGGCCTGGGAGAGGAC